GCTTTCGCACGAGCAGCAGCCTCTGCTTCCGCTTTCGCACGAGCAGCAGCCTCTGCTTCGGCTTTCGCACGAGCAGCAGCCTCTGCTTCCGCTTCTGCACGAGCAGCTGCCTCTGCTTCAGCTTTCGCACGAGCGGCCGCCTCCGCTTCAGCTTTGGCGCGTGCTTCCTCCTGGCGTCTGGCTTCTTCCTCAGCTTCAGCACGCAAACGCGCTTCTTCTCGTGCCCGGGCTTCTGCTTCGGCTTTAGCCTTCTCTTCGGCAAGAGCTCGAGCTTGCCGAGCTTGGGCATCTGCAAGTGCACGTGCGTGAGCTTCGGCTTGAGCTCGAGCCTGCGCTTCAGCTTCAGCTACGGCTTCAGCATGGGCTCGGGCCTCAGCTTCAGCTCTAGCAACGGCTTCGGCATTGGCCCTTGCTTCGGCCTGTGCTCTGACCTCAGCTTCACGCTCTGCTTGCAGCTCGGCAGCATGCGCTTCTTGTCGCTGCTTCGCCTCGGCAGCTCCACTGCCATGTTCCTGGGCAAACGATCGTTCTACAAGAGAAAGGTGTCACGGAACTGGCCATATATTAGCGTTACGACCAGTCTATTGAATACCTGGCACGTCCGTCTCCGCGACACTCCCTCGATCCAGCACATGCACGTCCAAGAGCGGCACACGCGCCGTGTACTCTGCGGCCGGGTAGACGACATGGCGTTGCTGAGCAACGACTTGCGCGGCTCGGATCGACTTGTCAAAGTTCTCAAACAACTCGACGTTCTTGGCGGGATCCGCCAGCGCTTTGGCGGCGCGGGAGCTCACTTGCGCCAAGTCTTCGCGCCACGCGCCAAGTACCACGTCGATGGCCGTGGGATCGTACGACCTGGCGAAGAACGCTGCTTCTGGCAACCGCTTCGACTCGACCAGCAACTTGACGCACTCCTTCAGTTGGCCCAAAAAGAACAAGCTCACAAATGCAATGTTGTGTCGGCCCTTGGTCGTCGCCAGCTCGGCCAGCGACGCCAGCTTCACGCGGTCCCCGCGCGACGTGTACAAGAGCAGAAGCAGACTCAAGTCGTCCGACCGCAACGCACAGTCTTCAGCTAGCGCGTAGTTGCCGTCGTTGAGCGCGAGATCGCCGAGCTGCTTCCACTTGTGCTGGGTGTCAGTGGCGGACGCGTGTTGGTCGTGCTCGCGCGCCATCATGATGTCCTTGGCCACGTCGAGCTTGGCGAGTTGCACCGCCAGGTCAAACTTTTGATCGGGGTCCGTGCTCAACACGAGCGCTTCTTCCTTGTACCCTTGGGACTCGAGGAAGCGCGCGACATTGTCCATGAGCTCGGGGGGAATGCGGGGCAGGATCGCGTTCGCCGTGTCAAAGTCGTGGCGCACGACGGCCGTTTGGTACTCGAGCAGGACGAGGTGCACCGTGAAGCTCGTCACGTTCTTTTGCTTGTCCATGAGGAACACGACATTCTCCTTGGGCAAGTACCCCAACAAGTACATCTTGGACGGCAAGTGCGTAATCGTCATGATCTCGCCGCCAACGTAGTAGTTGAGGCGGCCGCTCGAGTTGACGTACAAGAAGCAGTCACCGACCCACGTACCGGAGCTCACCTTTTCCGACAACTCGTGGACGAGGTCAAAGGCGCCTTCAACGCCGTCCGGGGCGTTCAGGTTGGACATCGCGACCGCTTCCCGGTTGTACCGGAGCACGTAGTAGGACGAGTCCGTCGAAAGCACCACCAAGTCGCCGGCATCGCTCCAAAACACATTCTTCACCGTCGCGTCGATCTTGCGAATGAATCGCATATCGTTGTCCCAGTCGTAGAACGCAATGCAGTCGGGGCCACGGATACCGATCAACGCGCCGCCAAACAGACCCTCGGCGGTGCACTGCGTCGGCTTGAGCGCTTTGACTTGGACAAAGTTCTTGAAGAGCACAACTTTGGACGACGACTCCCGCACGACGTAGTCGCCTGTCCCCGTCGGCGACCACACAAAGTCCAGCGCCGACCCAAAGCTCTTGTTGCGCAGCTGCTGCGACGTGTAGATAATGTACTCGCCGTCGCCACAGATTGCGACGAACCGACCGTTTGCATTGTGCTTGAGCTTCTGCGGAAACACCTCGCACGACCCGAGGTCGCGCCCTGGAAGTGGCACGCGCTCGCCGTCCTTCAGACCCAACTCTGCGACCACGCCTTTCACTGACGCCGTCTGGATTTCGTTGTTGTTGGCCCAAATCAGCTTGCCCGTCGTGTCCATGCTCACCACAGGCGTATCGTGGCCAAGCCGCAACACGACACTGCCTTCGTCGTACCCGATCGCGAGCACGTTGCTTGAGTCCAGACCCGCCAAGCACCAAGCGCGCTCCATGCCGTAGTTGAGCGTCGTTTCGGCGCGGTACGTGGTCGAGTGCCACATGCGCACGGCGCCATCTTCACACGCCGAGATGATCAGCGGCAGCCGGGGATGGTACAACACGTCCGCCAAATTGTGCGTGTGACCATCCAACGTGTGCACGATGGTCTTGGTCTGGTAGTCCCACACCTTTACAGTCTTGTCGTCCGAGCCAGAGATGAGGTACGGCTTGTCCCCGCCTGGGTAGTAGTCGATGCAGTTGACGCCGCGCTCGTGGCCTTCGAGGGTGAAGTGGGGGTGCGACGAACCGAGGCCCCACACGCGAATCGTGCGGTCCAAACTGCCCGTCGCGAATGTGTTGGTGTCCTTGGGGTTGAATTTGGCCATCATGACGTAGTGTCCGTGGCCTTCAAAGACTTGCGTGCACAGCCAGTTCTTCTCCCAGTCCCACATCTTGACCGTCATGTCGTCAGCGCACGATAGAATCACAGGAAGGACGGGGTGGACTTCGAGGTATCGAATGTAATCTGCGTGCGCATCGAACGAGGTCACCTTGTCCATCGTGTTGTAGTTGAACACGCGCAGTTGTAGGTCATCTGACGACGCAACAATCCACTGTTTGCGCGCAATGAAGCGCGCATTGCGTACCGGCAGCGTCGACACTTCGAACGACTTGACGAGTTGCTGCTTGTCGTAGTCCCACACCATCACCGTGCCGTTGTACAGGCCCGAGAGCACCCACGGCTCCGTCGGATGCAGGTCGACGCTCTTCACGCGCTCCGACCGGCTCGAGAGCTTTTTCTTGATGTCCAAACGCAGCGGCTACGGACACACGCATGAGCCATCCTCTCCCCGTCGCTCCATCGCACGTACCATCTCTCGATTGCAAATCTGCCGTGAGCGGACTGAAGTGAACCTTTTACATTCAATATTGTGAGGATTCATTTCGAGAGGTTCCTTCCGTCGACTTGTCCGTTTCGGATTGGTCGCATTATGTCACACGATTCAAATGTCTTCGGTCAACTTCACACGTTTGAAATGTCCAACAAGTGGATGGCTTGGTGCAGGGAATGGGATGCCTTTCTTCGTGAGAGGCTGCGAAACACGACCACTTTTCTATAACCTCCGCATCAATTCGTACGATGTCGTCGTTCCCTTTGTACAGGATGTCCCAGGATTTGTCAGCGTAAGGGCGTTGCATAAGTATTGTACAAAGTTTACCTGTAGTTGCACGAGCCATTCATAGCTTTGGCAAGCGCACTTGTGTCAAAGCACGTGGTAGCTGCGCCGACGATTTACGTAGCCTGCACCGTCAGTTTACCACTCGAATGTAGTTGGTCGAAGGCATGAGCAGTGTGATCCTCAAAGTAGCGCGTTGCATTGTCCATTCTACGTGCCTTTCTCGATACGGCGCGTCCACTTGGCGTCCTCAGCCCACTCGATAACATGCGCCATGCTGGCTTGACATGGAAATACGCTGAGTTGTTGCCTTCGCTGGCATTATCTCTGTTCATCCCGCAAGCCCAAGTGCATCTCGAAGTCATCGTCAGGTACTACATCTTAAGTGCACATCTTCATGTTATACAGGTCGTGGGACCAGATTGAGTCTTGATCGGCAACGATAGCGCATCCAACACGTCACGGCATCGCCCGGAGAAGCTGGAGAAGAACGATAAGCCAAGTGTGTTGGATTTTGGGGGCCCCAGTGGGTCGTTGTCTGGAAGAGTGTCAGAAGGTACATTGAGCTGACCATGATGAAGGTTGTGTTGCAGGTTGCAAGAACGACGAAATGGATATGTCGATAATCTTCGAAGGCATCCGAGGCAATTCCTCCCACTGCATCCAGTGCATCGGTCTCGCAAGAGCTTGGACTGGAAGCACCGTGAATTGCTCAATACGAGGTTTTTGCCCCTCCCCCAAATTACATGGAGCACTTTACATCGTCACACCGTAATGCAAGAAGATCTATGGATATTTTTGTGTCATGGGAATAAAGTACGAGGGCTGCCCCATTGTCATTAATGCTAGCGCCGCCAGCAACTCGTTCATCCTGTCTGCGGCCAACCTTTGGAGTTGCAGTTGGTGAAATGTCATATGAAGGAGTATTCATCGCTGCAGCCTTCTGTCGGCGGGACCTCATAACTCTCCAAGAAACGAACGATCACTCCATTCTTACTTTGTCGATTGTAATCGAATCTACGCGTGGATGTCGACGAGGCAGCAGCCTTGGTCGAACCCGATCGCGACGTGCGATGCCTTGCAGGAAACCCCCCACGCGCGCCCCAAGTCGCCAGCGTCGACAAGCGACCACACAATCGCCCCGGTCGAGATATTCCAGGCGCGAACCGATTTGTCTTCGCTGGTCGACACCACAATCGACGGAGCCAAGGGCAGGAACGCCGCCGATGTCACATTGCCCGAGTGTCCGGGCAGCGTTTTCATCAGGCGTTGCGTGTTGACGTCCCATAGCTTCAACGTAAAGTCGTCGGCCCCCGTGACAAGCTGAGACCCCGTCGCGTCAAAGCCGACGCAGTCGATGCCGTTAGCATGGGCGTGTTCAATTACAAAGACGGGGGCCAACGGGGCGCCCAGCTTCCACATGCGAATGGTGCAGTCCATCGACACCGACACAATGGTGTCGCCTTGAGGACTAAACTTGGCCATCATGACGTACTTGGAGTGGCCAGTAAACGTGTCGATGTTGGCCCAGTGGAGGTCCCAATTCCATGTCTTGACGAGGGCATCGTCGCCGCAGGAGAGGACGAGGGGCAGGGACGGGTGGATGTCGAGGCAGCGAATGTAGTCGCCGTGGGCTGCCTCGATTGCAATCACAAGGGCCCAGTCCGTCAAGTCGTACACGCGGAGGAACAAGTCGTCCGAACCGACGACGATCCAGTTCTTCTGGGGAATGAACCGAACAGCACGAACTGGTTGCTTCGACACGTGAATCGTGTGGACGACGGACGGGCTGCCGTCGCGAGGAGAAGTCGTGTCCAAGATGACGACATCGCCTGAATACAGGCCCAGGGCCACCCACGGTAGCATCGAGTGCCAATCTATGGATTTCACGCGGGCAGAGGGGTAAAAGAGCTTGGTGGTCGAGGCGAGCGCTGGTGACAACATGGAGAGTTTGAAATGCCAACGGGGGAATGTGAGGGGGGCAGGCGCGTTTGGGATCACGTCCAACTCTCTCGTCGTTACGTCGACCTGGCAGGGCTTCATTGGCGCAGCATGTGTGCGTGGCATGGTTTGATTGGACTTGACAGTTCACTCCACGGTCGAACGGGAGTCCCGTGGTTGTGTAGGCGAGGCAGCAGTTGGGGGAGCACGAGTTGCCTGCTTACATGACCAAATGCGTTCCGGACCAAAAGAAGGAAAACTACCGCGGTAAAGAATTTCGATTCTTGTTTCGGCCGCCGTGTAGATGAATTGGCGGCCACGAGGTCTTTGGCCTCGTCTATGCATGGCCATTCGGAGCCGTCCGGTCCTTGTTGCAACATCATTTCGACTTCTTGCTGGATTGCAAGGGGGCGGGCCGTGCTTTCGGACAACTTCTTTTGTGTCTGCGAGCACTTCCTCTTACGAATGTCGTTGTCGTTGTACTGTGAACCCCAGAAAAAGCCGACATGGTTTCATCCTGAAAATGCATGAGTTAGTCTAACTTGATTGGCTGTAAATAGAAGAATTTAAGTCAGTCATAATCACAGGTTGCTTGTATCTGCACTACAATTGGTCAAAACGAATGGCATTTCTGACTTGGTATTGAAGTATAGAGGTGCAGAATTTTTGAAAACAGATCAAGTTGTGGAGGTGGTCGGCTTTTTTGGGGGTGTCGGCATTTTCCGGGGTTTACTGTACTGTTGTTGTCTTTGTCAGCACGCATGGTTTCAGTCTTTTGGGGCTGCTTGCCTTTTTCATTCTCGTAGTACGTCAGGTTTTACACCGCTTGAAAAAAACCACTTTGTGCTATTATTGCATTTTTGAAATATGGATTTTTGTCTGAGACATGTACAATCATTTTACAGTATATATAGTGTAGTGGAGAAGGTCCCCGGTTCAAGTCCGGGTAAGATCAAATTTTTACCAATGTTGGCAT